CCTCCTCCTCCTCCTCCTCCTCCTCCCTCCTCCTCCTCCTCCTCCTCCCTCCTCCTCCTCCTCCTCCTCCTCCTTCCCCTGATCTCTTGCTATCCCCCCCCTCTCCACCTGATCTCCTCCTACTCCCCTTTCACCCACCCCTCCCTCCCTCACTTCCTCGCTCCATCCTCCTATCACTCTCCTGCTCCCTTCTTCCCTTTCTTTCTGTATTCTTGCTCTTCCTTGGCCCTAGCCCCAGCCTCTATTCTTATCCATTGAGAGATGCCCCCTTGCTCATAATTTTCTCGTGGATATCCTTCGAAGAGTCAAACATACATGAAATCAGAAAGCTTGCCGTCATGTAACTCCTTCTTCTATGGATTCTGGCTTGTAGCTGCCACATCAGTCGTAATCTCATCGCTCTTCATGCTCGGAAGAGCATCCTGCGGCATGGCGGGCCTGGATGAAGTTGACCTCACTCCACTTCTATTGTCAAACAGCACAATGCTCACTGGTAGCCCGTTGACGGAGGACATCATTAGGCTGATAAAGCCTGAGGACGTGGATAAAGTCTCGTTGGACCCGAATCGCAGCAGCAGCGCGCTGCTTGCTTCTGCACTCTTCTGGACTCGGAAGCGAGAAAGAAGATCAAGGAGCAGCTGTACAGAGCCTTTGCTGAAGTGCAGAGGATCAAACGACCGATGAGGAACAAAGATCTCTCCTTCAACAACTCTCTCAAGTCTCTCTTGAGGCTCAAGGGTCTTGCTAGCAAAGCGTTCCAATCTTGCGGTGATTCAGGATGGATTCCAATGGTATCCCAGCAAGCCTCGTTTGAAAGCGGTCTCAGGCTTGATGGGATCAAGCAAGAGCATAACATCTCTGAAAAATTCAAAATTCAGATGTGTTATGACAAGGGGCGGATGAGTGGGAAGATCCTTGTAGAGAAGAGGTTCGATTGTAACGAGGCCATGGAATTCTCTGGTGACCCTCAATATGTGAAGATGGTAAGGAATCAATCAGGACCTGACGAGTTTTCATTCAACCTCCAAGGACCCGAGCTACATAGTTTGGTGTACAACATGAGGTACTTGGGGCAGTGCAGATATGAGTTACCTTTTAAAGTTACCACACCGGGCAAGTATTTCGTCAACTTGGTCTGGTGGAGAGAGAATTATAACGGAGCTACGGAGCTCTCGAACGGCTGGCTTCCTGCTCACTTTGACCTGCCGCTGGGATTGGACGTTTTCATCCATTTGGGTGAGCCAGGAGACGATATGAAAGAAACGAGGGAAGCTTTGCAGAGGAATCGGAATGCCTCCGATCTGCCCCTTTGTGACATGCGAGACAAAAATTATACCTACATGGACGGCCGATGGCTGTATATGTATGATGACGTCGAAAATATCTTCTACTCTCCAGCACCGCAGCAGGTGAGACTGATTAGTGGAGGTGCGAGTATGTATACATGGGTCAATCTGGAGAAGTATTACTGGTACCCGTCTCGCTGCAAGCTCCGCCATTTCGAGGGCAAGCAAGCACTGAATTGCATAGCATCGAAGACTATTAGAATGCAAGGGGATTCTCACCTCAGAACCATCGCCAATGCCCTAAGTGACTTGGCTTGCGGTGTGCGGTCAGGAGGCTTCGATAGCGGCTGCGCCTCAGCTTGCAAACAGGCTGATTTGAGTCGAAATTGCTATCGAAAGGATGGGTTGGGTCATGCTCCAGACTTCTTTGCGGACCAAGGTGCCGCGCTAAATGTGATCAACCTCGGCCAGCATTTTTGCGATGGAGAGCGCAAGATGAAATTTGCACAATACAAACAGAGCATTGACGCTGGTGTGGACAAGATGTCGAAACTTTCACCAGATGCTCGGAGGACGATGATTTGGCACGAAACCAATGCAGTCATGTTCAGAAAAGATTCTTGGATCGTGGGGTACGGCGATCAAAGGACGAATATCCGCATCGCGATGTACAACAGGTACGCAACAGCGAAAATGAAAGAACTTGGGATCACCGTCCTGCCGACTTTTTCTGCAAGCCTTGCGCTTGCACAGAATCCTGATGAAGCTCATTATCCATTGAAGTATCTGCAGCATAGCTCTGTGCAGTACCTGCTCAACTTTTTTTGCCAATAAATTGAATCGTGTGAAAGACACTAGCTCCCAGGCACTTTAACCTGTTGACCGTCGGACACTTAGGAGGCCCTCCAACTTATCACCGTACCAGCCGCGCAAGGTACACTAGTGCCCCCGGCACAGGCCGCGGCTGCACTGGGCCCGGTCACCGACCGTCAGCGGCCGGGCCGGCCCTGCCCATTCGTACCGTAGTAACGATGGCATTCATGATGACTCAAGCAGCCCACCGTCGGCCGGCCACGGTACGGCGACCAACCGTTGAACTGCTGTCAATGATTGATGCCGTAGCTTCAGAATGAGATGATTCCGGAACGCACCCGCGATGATGGCAGCGAAGGACAGGGAGGCCTCAGCCTGTCGGAAAGTCACCGTCAAGCCACCGGCGGCGGGGCCCGCTGCCGCGCCGCGCGGCCGCTGCCGGCGCGCCCGGCCCGCACTGCGCGGCAATCATGAAATGACATTAACTGTCATAACGGTATTCCAATTCAACAATAACGGTCGTAACCGTTGATCTCCGGCCTCCAGGTGTTCCTCGAAAAAGAAAAAGCAACCAAGATGGAGGATGAATCAATACGTAGGGGTACATTTATGTGGTATAATAGGGGTGAGGGTGATGCTTGGCTTTGTCTTTTTTTTCTTCTCGAATGATTTGGCGCCATGCAGGCGACGGGGTGCATGGCACGGAGGAGAGGAGTGGAGAGGGAGGTGTGGAGAGGAGAGAGCAGAAGGTAGTTCCCCAAGAGGGAAGGAACATGAGCAGAAAGAAAATGACAGATACGAATCTTACTTGACGTTACAAAGATCGCTGAATGGTCTCTGGCAAGTTTTCGAATCCCATGTAGGCGGTGAGGATCGTCAGTTGAGCAAGGAGCAGGAAGATGCAGATGAGAAACATGAAAGCGCGTCCTAGCTTCGTTCTCTTGGTGCTTGTGCTGTGCAATCCGGGACAGCGTTTGGCGACGGCTTCAGCACACGTACCTGCAACAGCCTTGGGGCAGCGCTCTGCATTGCACATTAGCAGGGATGGTCATTCAAAAGTATTGAGGGTCAGAGGCGGTTCTCCTGCATTATTCTCACCAATTCGGACATGCAAAGCAAACCAGATATGCAACCATGTATACGAAACTCTTGTCGCTCCCTTGGATTTTGTCAAGGAATACTGCAAGACGTCAAGATCTTGTCAGGAAGTGATGAACATGCTTTCTCGAGTTCCACAAATTGTCGATTCAGCCTGCTCCTCGAATGCTCTATGTTCGAGCATACATTCGACATTCATGTCTCTGTGGAAGAGTGACTCTATCCTTGCTATACATGCCGGTTTTGTTTCGATGGCCATTGCCCTCGATCTGGTAGCATCGCTGTTTTCGTCAGCAAAACTGCGCCCAGTCGATACACGTCGCACTCCTGGATGCGTTCCTCATAGCCGTGTGGTTACTGTTGGGTCCCGTGTTCGTGTAAAGGGACTTGCCAGTGCACGGCAATACAACGGACTTGTGGGGGTTGTGAGGTCCAAGTATGGGAAGAGATTTGCTGTGGAGGTTTGGGGTTTCCCAGAAGATTTAATGCTCAAGTCCAAAAACTTAGAGGTGATCGGATGCAGTTTGCTATCGATAGAATCGAAGAAATCGCAGCAAACAGAACAAGGCAAAGCCGACCTTGAAGAGAACATCACTGCTTTAGCTTCAAACCAAACGGTTGAAAAAGGTTATGATGACGAAACCATATCTGTAGACAACCAACCTCATCAAGCTTACCAGAAGAAAGTTAAAGAAGGGCCTTTACAACCTGCTGAAAGCGAACAGCTACCGAAGGCATCAAAGAGGAAGACATTCGAGAACTACCTCGAAAAATTTACAGGTTTCAAACAAAAAACCTCGACTAGATTGGCAGATAGCGTTGCTCCAGCAGCTCATCATCAGGGCTGGCTCTACAGCCGTGAGCCCGCTCTCCTCGCCCTCTGGCATAAGCGTTGGTGCGTCGTCCGCCAGGGCCAGCTCGACCTCTACGAGGACGACAGCATGCAGAAGCTGGTCATGACGGTACCGCTGTCGCAGTGCCGGATCGAGAAGACGCGGGTGATGGACGGGCGGCTACAGCAGGGGTGCGACTTCGAGTACGGGATCCGGGTGGTACTAGGGAAGGGGATCCTGATGGAGCTTGGGGCACAGGAGCGGCTTCTGGCGGCGGGGTCAGAGGAGGAGCGGGAGGGGTGGGGGGCGGCGTTGATGTCTTGCAGACAGGGAGTTTTAGTGCACAGCACATCTGAGAGGGCCTCTGATAAAATGCAGTCTATGAAGGATGCGCAAGGTAGCGATGGTCAGGGGATGAGTTCACAAGTTGCGAGATTTGGTGTCCAGCTGGGAAAGAGTGTCGAAACATTGTTTTCTTCGGATCCATCCACGTGGTTCGGAGGCGTGAAGGATATGATGCAAGAAGTGCAATCCAAGGCATCGGTAATGCGCTCTTGACTTAATCTGCACCACTCTAACACTGGTTACAGATTGTTTTCGAGCGGTTGAAGAACAGCAGCGATTGGATAAGTGATGATGACGAGGATGACGGCAATGGTCTAGTCCGTGACAGCGTGAACGCTCAAAGTCCCTCAGTTGCTCAATCTGTTGCGAGTCAGTCTGTGACGGAATCTTATTTCACTAATGACCGAATGGGTCATCAAACATTACAGGACTCTCTTTTTCATGAGGAGGCGCTCAATGAGTCCGCCGCCGCTCCAAGTGGCAATTTCAAAGGGCATGAAGATCATCTCCGCACAACTGCAGCAAGTGAAAGTGTTTTGAAAGAGATTGAAGCAATTCAAAATGAATTAGCCGAAACTGCACAGAAGAAGGAGGATGCAGTCAAAAACGAGGATTATCAATTAGCTTCAGTGTTGAAGTCAAAAATTGATGGGCTCAAATCTAAAATTCACCAACTTCAACAGGGTCTAGCACCGGTGATATCAATAGGAAAAGACCAAATCGCAGCCCTTGGCCCCAATGACGTTTCTCAACCGATGCAGAAGCAACACCTGAAACCAGTCGAACCATACGTCAAAGGTGGATGGCTCTACAGCCGTGAGCCCGCTCTCCTCGCCCTCTGGCATAAGCGTTGGTGCGTCGTCCGCCAAGGCCAGCTCGACCTCTACGAGGACGACAGCATGCAGAAGCTGGTCATGACGGTACCGCTGTCGCAGTGCCGGATCGAGAAGACGCGGGTGATGGACGGGCGGCTACAGCAGGGGTGCGACTTCGAGTACGGGATCCGGGTGGTACTAGGGAAGGGGATCCTGATGGAGCTTGGGGCACAGGAGCGGCTTCTGGCGGCGGGGTCAGAGGAGGAGCGGGAGGGGTGGGGGGCGGCGTTGATGTCTTGCAGGCAGGGGGCTCTAGAAGTCGGGGGGCGGCCGGAGGCCTCGGGACAGGGGACGGCGGGGAGGAACGAGACCGGGGAAGGGCTAGGGGGGCGTCTGGCGAAGTGGGGGGTAGTCATTGGAAAGCACTTTGAATCGCTCCTTACGGCAGATCCTCAGGACACGATCAAGAAGGTCAAGGAGGAGGCGGGGAAGCACGTGGGAGGGGTACTAGGGAAGCTGGACGACTTGATCAGCGACGAAGATGAAGCAAACGAATTTCCTCATACCGATGCAACAATATCGGTAATTAACATTTCTTGTTGCACGTGATTTGATTGTACTGTTTGTTTACAGCGATTACAGGATCATAGAGAACATTCCTTGGAGGCTCCTCCTTCTCAGCCATCCATTACGATTGACCCAAGCATACACCTCAGATATCCACCAGTGCGCCAGGGCTGGCTCTACAGCCGTGAGCCCGCTCTCCTCGCCCTCTGGCATAAGCGTTGGTGCGTCGTCCGCCAGGGCCAGCTCGACCTCTACGAGGACGACAGCATGCAGAAGCTGGTCATGACGGTACCGCTGTCGCAGTGCCGGATCGAGAAGACGCGGGTGATGGACGGGCGGCGAAGCACGTGTCCTAGATGCATGCTCACCTCGATGCACGCTGTCTTCACACAGGAAGGAAATATGGCTGATGGAGCTTGGGGCACAGGAGCGGCTTCTGGCGGCGGGGTCAGAGGAGGAGCGGGAGGGGTGGGGGGCGGCGTTGATGTCTTGCAGGCAGGGGGCTCTAGAAGTCGGGGGCGACCGGAGGCCTCGGGACAGAGGGCGGCGGGGAGGAACGAGACCGGGGAAGGGCTAGGCGGCCGTCCGGCGAAGTGGGGGGTAGCGATCGGGAAGGGGGTAGAGTCAGTGCTCTCAGCAGATCCTCAGGACACGATCAAGAAGGTCAAGGAGGAGGCGGGGAAGCACGTGGGAGGGGTACTGGGGAAGCTGGACGACTTGATCAGCGACGAAGAATCAGAGCAAGCAAGACCTGTAGGGTATGACGGGAGTGCAGGAGATGGTGAAATCAGCATCGCTGCAGGCGCCATGTTGCCTCCTCCTCCTCCTCCTTTACCTCCGCTCGATGCAGACCAGATGAAGGGGGTAGGCAGTGCATCTACGCCGATCCCTGTTGCCAAGCTCCCGAACTACGGTCCGACGTACCTGTCCCCAACAACAAGCGCGACAGAGAAGGCTCAGAGCACCACGACGGAAGAGCAGGCATTGAAGAAAGTGCCGTTTCGCAGTGTGCATGTCTTACCACGGGAGAGTGTGGTAGAGGAGCAGATCGTGAAGTATCCACGGATGCCCATGTATGGAGCCGAGTATCTTTCGCCGTCGAATCCGCAGTCGTCGACGATGCCATCGCAGCCGATGACGCCGACGCTCTCGGCGTATGTACCCCCTATGATTTCTTCTTTACGACCAGTCGTGGAACCTGTGATGCACGAAGAAAAACTGTCTCAGACCTCCCTTGACATCAAGAGTGCTACAGAGTCCTTCACGCTTGACTGGGACAAGTGCATGACCGATGCGATTGGATCGTGGGGAGTTTTTGCCGGACACGAAGAGACCATTATTGATCAGGAATTTCAGTACTCAACGAGACAAGAGTACGCAACAAATGAAGCTCAAGCACCAAAGGAAAACAAGCCGCTTCCTCCACCAGTGCGCCAGGGCTGGCTCTACAGCCGTGAGCCCGCTCTCCTCGCCCTCTGGCACAAGCGTTGGTGCGTCGTCCGCCAAGGCCAGCTCGACCTCTACGAGGACGACAGCATGCAGAAGCTGGTCATGACGGTACCGCTGTCGCAGTGCCGGATCGAGAAGACGCGGGTGATGGACGGGCGGCTACAGCAGGGGTGCGACTTCGAGTACGGGATCCGGGTGGTACTAGGGAAGGGGATCCTGATGGAGCTTGGGGCACAGGAGCGGCTTCTGGCGGCGGGGTCAGAGGAGGAGCGGGAGGGGTGGGGGGCGGCGTTGATGTCTTGCAGGCAGGGGGCTCTAGAAGTCGGGGGGCGACCGGAGGCCTCGGGACAGAGGGCGGCGGGGAGGAACGAGACCGGGGAAGGGCTAGGGGGGCGTCTGGCGAAGTGGGGGGTAGCGATCGGGAAGGGGGTAGAGTCAGTGCTCTCAGCAGATCCTCAGGACACGATCAAGAAGGTCAAGGAGGAGGCGGGGAAGCACGTGGGAGGGGTACTGGGGAAGCTGGACGACTTGATCAGCGACGAAGAATCAGAGCAAGCAAGACCTGTAGGGTATGACGGGAGTGCAGGAGATGGTGAAATCAGCATCGCTGCAGGCGCCATGTTGCCTCCTCCTCCTCCTCCTCCTCCTTTTCCTCCGCTCGATGCAGACCAGATGAAGGGAGTAGGCAGTGCATCTACGCCGATCCCTGTTGCCAAGCTCCCGAACTACGGTCCGACGTACCTGTCCCCAACAACAAGCGCGACAGAGAAGGCTCAGAGCACCACGACGGAAGAGCAGGCATTGAAGAAAGTGCCGTTTCGCAGTGTGCATGTCTTACCACGGGAGAGTGTGGTAGAGGAGCAGATCGTGAAGTATCCACGGATGCCCATGTATGGAGCCGAGTATCTTTCGCCGTCGAATCCGCAGTCGTCGACGATGCCATCGCAGCCGATGACGCCGACGCTCTCGGCGTATGTACCCCCTATGGTGGAATCTCTAACACAGCAACAGACTAAGGTCAAGGAACCTTACACGTTTCCTCTGACGTTGAACAGAACGCTGGTGTACACCAATCAGATCCTTGAATACGGAAAGGCCCTGTGGAAATATGAAATCGAAATGAATGCTGGAAAAACTCAAGACAATATGATTCCAGCTCCTTCCCCCCCTCCACCAGTACGCCAGGGCTGGCTCTACAGCCGTGAGCCCGCTCTCCTCGCCCTCTGGCACAAGCGTTGGTGCGTCGTCCGCCAGGGCCAGCTCGACCTCTACGAGGACGACAGCATGCAGAAGCTGGTCATGACGGTACCGCTGTCGCAGTGCCGGATCGAGAAGACGCGGGTGATGGACGGGCGGCTACAGCAGGGGTGCGACTTCGAGTACGGGATCCGGGTGGTACTAGGGAAGGGGATCCTGATGGAGCTTGGGGCACAGGAGCGGCTTCTGGCGGCGGGGTCAGAGGAGGAGCGGGAGGGGTGGGGGGCGGCGTTGATGTCTTGCAGCAGGGGGCTCTAGAAGTCGGGGGGCGACCGGAGGCCTCGGGACAGAGGGCGGCGGGGAGGAACGAGACCGGGGAAGGGCTAAGGGGGCGTCTGGCGAAGTGGGGGGTAGCGATCGGGAAGGGGGTAGAGTCAGTGCTCTCAGCAGATCCTCAGGACACGATCAAGAAGGTCAAGGAGGAGGCGGGGAAGCACGTGGGAGGGGTACTGGGGAAGCTGGACGACTTGATCAGCGACGAAGATGAAGTTGCTGCTTATGACTCTGCTACGCTCGGATCTGCAGGAGAAATGATTCTTGGAGTGGGTGATTTGATGTTGCCTCCTGCAAGTGTGTCAGGTGGATCTTTTGTTTTCAAACCATCAGTGTTGGATGCTGTCAGGGAAACGGGAACGCCGGCTCAGACATCATTGACGTTAACAACTCCAGATACCCGACACGATGAAGGATATCTGCAACCAAAGAAGTCGCACGTGCCTGAATGGAAGGAGCCTCAACCTGCCACGAGTACAGCAGATCCGAACATGCAATTGCACCTGACAATCGCGAGCAATGCACAGACCAATCCACCAGTACGCCAGGGCTGGCTCTACAGCCGTGAGCCCGCTCTCCTCGCCCTCTGGCATAAGCGTTGGTGCGTCGTCCGCCAGGGCCAGCTCGACCTCTACGAGGACGACAGCATGCAGAAGCTGGTCATGACGGTACCGCTGTCGCAGTGCCGGATCGAGAAGACGCGGGTGATGGACGGGCGGCTACAGCAGGGGTGCGACTTCGAGTACGGGATCCGGGTGGTACTAGGGAAGGGGATCCTGATGGAGCTTGGGGCACAGGAGCGGCTTCTGGCGGCGGGGTCAGAGGAGGAGCGGGAGGGGTGGGGGGCGGCGTTGATGTCTTGCAGGCAGGGGGCTCTAGAAGTCGGGGGGCGGCCGGAGGCCTCGGGACAGGGGACGGCGGGGAGGAACGAGACCGGGGAAGGGCTAGGGGGGCGTCTGGCGAAGTGGGGGGTAGCGATCGGGAAGGGGGTAGAGTCAGTGCTCTCAGCGGATGTTGCACAAGGAGAAGCTAGTGAAGACTTAGGATCGAGAGATAAGTTGGGTGATATTGCCCCGACAGGATCGAAGCTTCAGACGTTCTTCAGTCCCCATGATGTTGTGTTGGAAGTCGGGGAGATGGAGCTCGGGTGGACGTCACCAGCTACAGCTCTCGCGAGACCCCCGACTTCTTCAGTGCCATCGCAACCTACAGACAAAGTTTCAGATCCAGCCCCTAAGGAAATCAAACAAGCCATTACCCCTGGTTTTCATGATGCTGCTCCTGTTTTGCCAAACCAGGTCACAATCACCGCTCCCCCTTCACCTCCACCAGTGCGCCAGGGCTGGCTCTACAGCCGTGAGCCCGCTCTCCTCGCCCTCTGGCATAAGCGTTGGTGCGTCGTCCGCCAAGGCCAGCTCGACCTCTACGAGGACGACAGCATGCAGAAGCTGGTCATGACGGTACCGCTGTCGCAGTGCCGGATCGAGAAGACGCGGGTGATGGACGGGCGGCTACAGCAGGGGTGCGACTTCGAGTACGGGATCCGGGTGGTACTAGGGAAGGGGATCCTGATGGAGCTTGGGGCACAGGAGCGGCTTCTGGCGGCGGGGTCAGAGGAGGAGCGGGAGGGGTGGGGGGCGGCGTTGATGTCTTGCAGGCAGGGGGTGCTGTTTGGTTCATCCTCTCATGCTGGAGGTCGAAACACTGACTCCTCAAATCAGCTGCAGAATGCCCGTGCAGAACAGGGAGGAGAGCCAGTGTTGGATATTGGTAGGAGAATCGCTGCTGTTGGTGTCGGGTTGGGGAAGAGCGTTGAGAAGCTGATATCTTCTGATTACACCCCGATCGTCTCAGGAATTTGATCCACCTGTTTCCTTGCTGTTCCTTTGACGGTTCACCACAGGCATGAGGGAAGTGACAGCAAGAGCCTCGTCCGAGATCCGTCAAGCCTTTGCGGAGGGTGTGTCTGCGGAGCTCCAAAGCACGGCAGGAGGCCTCCAGGCTCCCATCGAGTCATTCGAAGCATCTTATAAGGCTTCAGCTCACAGCAGCAACTCGCTGCTGCCTCCGCCTCCGCCTCCTCAGCCTCAAGATCCTCCAGCAACAGCTTCGCAGCAGCCAGTTGCTCCTCCTCCTCCTCCTCCTCCAGTGCAGTCTCAGGTGCAGTCACAGCCTACTTGCACAGAGGCAGCACAGGTTGCTGTGCCACTGTATCAGCCTCCTCCTCCACCACCACCCGTCGGTCAACTTCCTTCAGTGGACCTGCCGCCTCCGCCTCCGCCTGCCTTGGTTGTCCCAGGTCAATGTCCTCGTCTTCTGAAATCAGATTTTTACACGTCATCAGGCCTGCAAAGTGCGAATGTGTCGCCCGTGTTGTCTCCGCCTCCAGCTCCTCCAGGTGCGTCGTGATGTTCCTGTAGTTCAAGGCAGCAGGATTGAACGCTCCGACCTGTTTCAGGGCAGAGTCAAGGACGAGAGGCATCGGAAGGGAACACACCCAAGGTATGTGTCTACTCCCATCCTCAAGGGTGTCGAGGTGTAACTGTGTTCCGATAGGATGACCCGCCACCTCCCTACATCCCAGACAAGATCAGCTTCCCTCCTCCTCCTCCTCCTCCTCCTCTGCAGTCAATCCCACCACCCTCTTCTCATTCCTTGTAAACTTCAAAGATTTAGTGAGGTTCAGCTGAAGTTCAGTTCAACTTTCACTTGCCATGTTGGTTCACCTTGCCCCGCGGCTTGTTCCAAGGACAGTCACACTATCACAGAGTAGACTCATCCACTCTGTACGGTCATCATGCGGCACAGCCCGGCCCTCCCGGCGCCGCCGGACTCGGGACGGGTTCAACGGGGCTGGTTCCCGAGTCCGAAGTTCGCTGAGTGACGGCCGGGCCGGCGGCACTCAGCCGCCCGGGGCCGGAACTTTTCCGGAAAAAGATGGTCTACCATCTTCACCGGTCACGACCAACAAATTTTCTGGGGATGTCCTTGGGGAACGAGATGGGGAGATGTAGAGGGGAGCGAGGAGAGCAGCGAGGCAGAAGAAGTTGATGAAGTTGATGATGAGAACAGCTGTCATGATGATGAGCTGATGAGATCAACTCGATCTGCGAGCAGAGTGAGCTCGTGCGAGCTAGCGGTTCTTGGGTGAAGGACGAGTTGTTCAGTTGGCATGGTGTGGCTGTAAGCTCAAACCTGCGCTATGATGTCGGACATGCTGCGTAGGATACGGATGCTCTTGAAGGAGCATTGGAACACGTTCTCGTACTCGCTGTCGGGGCTGATCCTACTCGTCCTAAGTCAGTCTCACCTCGACGGCGAGCATCCCAAGGTATCCACAGCAGCAGGCATTGCTCTCGGCATGGCAACGATGTGGGTGACGACTCCCATCCCCGTGGGCGTCACAGCGATGCTTCCTCTGGTGCTGTACCCGATCCTTGGCATCCTGGACGGCAAGAGCGTCGCCAAGTGCTACTTCAGCGACACCCACTTCGTCTTTGTTGGCTCATTTTTCCTCGCCATCGCCGTCGAGCGAGTGAACCTTCATCGAAGAATCGCTTTGAATCTCCTCCTCCTCCTCGGGGTGAAGCCCAGAAACCTCCTGTTTGGCTTCAGCTTCGCCACCTTCCTCCTCTCCACTTGTCTCTCTAACACGGCCACCGCGATAATGGTGATCCCCCTTGCAATGGCGGTTGTCGACCAGCTGGAGAGGCCGAGGGAGGAGCAGTCGTGCGACCAGGAGGTCCGTGGGGCCTCCAGCGAGCAGAAGGAGCAGCTCAGCCCTCGTGCCCCAAGTTTGATCCCCGGCGAGTCAGGTTCGGAAGAGCTCGTGTACGAGGTGAGGGAGTCGTTGGGGGATCGGAGTGACTCCTACCTGGTGAGAGCTGGCGTCTGCTGCTGACCGTCTCTGATAACCCCAGCAGGGCCCCAGTTCGCTGCCTGTCAGCAGTGACGAGTTACCGCACTCGAGCGACCAGCTGCTGGGCAGTGCCGCCAGTGAGAGTGACCACTTCAGGCTGCTGCATGGGCGGGGGGACCAGTCAGCCCACAGAGACGAGGAGGATGAAATCAAGCAGGTGAGGAGGAGATGCTTGCTTGTCATGCACACCTGGTGCAAGTTGAGCGTCTTCGTCTCCTCTCTCCTGCGTCGAGGGCCCCCAAAGGTACTTCCTCCCCTGCTGACCCTTGCGAGTCGGCGGGTGACAGTGAAGTTTCAGGGCCCTCTGGCTGTCAGGCTCCGGCGAACTCTGGCGCTGGGAGTGGCGTACAGCGCCAACATTGGAGGAGTAGCGACTCTGATCGGGACTCCTCCTAACCTGGTCTATGCCGGGCAGTTCCCCATCTTGTTCCCGCGAGGCCCCCCGGTCTCCTTCTCAAGTATGTTGGACGGGTCCTGACAGCTGCTGCTGACCCTGAGCTCTCAGACTGGTTCTACTTCTCCGCCCCCTACAGCCTGCTCATGTTCCTCATCTGCTTCGCCATCCTGAGCTTGAGCCTCAGCAAGGAGCCTCGCCCTGAAGGGGAAAGCGCGCAAGAGAAGGAGGCGATGAGCCTGGAGACGGAGGTGCTGACTAAGGAGAAGAACTCCCTGGGGAAGATCAGAAGGGAGGAGATCATCGTGATATCACACGGTGTCGTCCTCGTCGTGCTGTGGTTCACCAGGACTCCTGGGATCCTCAGGTCAACGTCGTGGCCCTCGCCATGGCTGACTGACTTGTCCGCAGCGTCGGATGGTCCCAGCTCTTTTCCAACCCGACCTACATCACGGACGGTATACATACGTCCAGCGGTACCTCCTGCTCACCTCTGGGGTCACTCAGGGACGGCTGCGATGCTCATTTCCCTCTCCCTGTTCCTCTTCCCCAAGGACGTCGAGAGGAGAAGGCAGTCCGAGGAGGAGGAGGATTCGATTCAAGGTCCCCCACGAGCCTCCATGCTTGCTTCTTGACAGCTTTTTTTCATGCATCAGATAGCCAAGACCCTCTCTATCCCCCCAACTGCCCCTCCTCTCCCACTTCCACTCCCTTCCCCTCCGCCCCTCCTTCCTCCTCTCCTCCTCGTCGAATCCTAGATGCTGAGGCGATCAAAGAAATCCCATGGTAAGAGGAGACAGAGGGCATTCGATGCCGGGGGAGGAGGGAAAAGGGGTGCGAGCGAGGGAGGGAGCGGGGGAAGGGAAGGGGTGGTTGACTTGGAGCGTCAGGAGTGTCGTGATTTTGCTCGGGGGAGGATTCGCCTTGGCGGAGGGGTCAAAGGTCCTCACGCTCGCCTCCTATGAGATCAGCTGACGGTGTTACAGGCCTCCGGCCTTTCATCCTGGATGGCGAAGTCACTGATGTCGCTGAGTGAGGTAAACCCTCCTCCTCCCTCCTCTTCAATCTCTTTGCTGCCTGTCATCATCTCCGTTGGCAACATCCTTCACCTTCTCCAGCATCGCCCTCAACAACTCCAACGCCTTCCCCCGCCCCCCTTCTTGCTCGTCTCACCTCCCCCATGCCTGACCTGCTGCCTGCAGCTGGAGCCTCAAGTCGTCCTGTAAGGCTGCGGCGAGGAGGAGGCGAGAAAGAGTGAGCTGACGAGCCTGCTGCAGGCTCATGACGATCCTCCTCGCCTCCCTCATGACCGAGTGCAACTCCAACGTGGCTGCCACGGCGATGCTCCTGCCCATCGTTGCCGAGCTCTCGGTGGGACTCAAGGTCTCCCCGATGGCCCACATGATGTGCGCCACCTTCGCCTGCTCCTTCGCCTTCATGCTCCCCATCTCCACGCCCCCCAACGCCATCGCCTTCGCTACCAATGCTGTCTCAGCCCGGGACATGCTCAAGGTTGGCTTCTTCCTCAACTCCATCGCCTGCGTCGCCCTCACCGTGTACACCATGTGGTTCTTCAAGCCCGTCTACGGTCACGATCCCTTCCAGCTCCCCTGGTGGGCTGTTGATGTCGAGGATGACGATAGACGAGCGGCGATGAGCCTGTGAGGCTGAAGGCAGATGCCAGCGGCTCTTTGCAGTCACACGGCGAAATAAATTGAACTTGGGAACTTCGGAAGTGACAGTGACTGTCGATCGACTCTCACTGAGTCCGATCAGTTTTCACTTTTCAACTTCCTGTAGGCGTGTCTCTTAGCTACTTTGTTGGCACAGGTCCTCACCCTCAGGATATCATGCCATCATAAGTTATCATCGGAGGGTCACTAACCGTTGAACTGTCGTCCGGCCGGGCCCCGGTCAGCCTGTGGCCGGGACACGGGCATCAAGGCTCTGAGGCGGGCTTGTGTAAATGAGGGGGATGAGGTTTGTCCTGAGAAAATCGTGGCAGGCGATGGCGACGGCGCGGGGAGCGATGAAGATGGGATACTACTTCGACGTGGTGTCGCCCTACTCGGCCTTCTCATGGAAGGTACTCGAGCGGTACCGAGGAAGGTGGCCCTTAGAGACAGCACTGAAGCCTGTCTTCCTTGGTGGGATCATGAAGGGAGCCTCCAATACGCCCCCGGCCCTGGTATCCAAGGCCAAGGGCGTGTGGATGAAGCAGGACATCCGGAGGTGCGGAGAAACGTTCGGCTACCCCATCCTTGACATGCCCAAGAACTTCTTCTCCGAGGTTGCACGGGCGACGGTGGACTGTCAGAGGTTGATAGTAGCCGCTCAGCTTCTGGGGAGGAAGGAGGACGAGGTGCGTGGTTTGATCTCGGTGCTGACAGATGCCATCCATGTCGACAAGGCGCTGAGGACGGAGGAGAACAATCTGAAAGTCGACGGTGCACTCATTGAAGCATGCGCGAAGAAGGTCTTGCCTGGAGAAGTGGTACAAGATGTCATCGCAGCGTCCAAGTCGCAGGAAGCGAAAGACCAGCTGAAGGCGAACACCGAAGAAGCAGGTGAGGAGAGCTCTGTTGAGATGCCGCTGACGTCTGCTCCTCTCCTCGTCGTGTAGTCTCCAAGGGAGTCTTCGGGAGCCCTTCTTTCGTCTTCTACAACCCCGACCCAAAGAAGGAAATCTTGATCTTCGGAAGTGACCGCTTCGACCAGATCGCGCACGTCATTGGCGCCGAGTGGAAAGGACCCAATCCTGCATGATGCGGATGTTGAGATGCGGACGTTGTGCGAAAGATGGACACTCGTGTGCACCAACTACTCTCTTGAAGGTCTGATTAGCAGACTTCCTTGTGTATTTGTCATACCATGACGAATTCATGTTCGTCCAAAGACTGAAACATGCTTGAACGGCAATACGTGTATGTGTGACTTTGTCCACCGGCATCATAGGGATAGAACAGTCCCCGGTTTCATCTGCCACTGTGAACAGCATCAAAACTACACCCTTCAGTCGCAACAGTTCACCTTTGGATCGAGAGACCAGATGAACTCTTGCAGCCGCTGGCAATATTCCTGCAGCTCTCTCAGTCGCTGTGGTAGTTGATATGGGCGGACAGGAGGATTGGTAGCAGAAGGGTGGGAGGCGTGTTGACTCACCGTGAAATATGAGATTTCAATGTCATTGTGTGCTGCCCCTTTGACCCAGAACGGCCTGCTCCATCCAGGTGAGCAATGCAGGCAACCTCTCTCCACCGTCACGCTCTCATTCTTGCCTGTGCGGCCTCCTGCTCATCTTGAAAAGCTCCTTGGCATGTTGAAAATCAACCACGTCGTCCCTAGTGCCATGGATCATGAAGACTGGGGAAACCGATTCAGCGGATGAAGACAGGGGCAAACGGCAAGATCTCTACCTGGGCACTTGATCTTGGGCATCTTTTGAAGGTTGCAGAACGCATCGAAAGCTGGATACGGATCAGACTTTCGGTTCGGAGCAGGGAAAAGCAGCACCAGTATACTTGACGTCGTACGCCACCCTGATGCAGGAAGTGAAGGCACTTTGCAGTATCAGGCCGCCTACTTCCACACGAGATGCGAGCTCGCAAGATGGGCCCGACCCAATGGAGCGGCCGTACAGAACAACCTGAGACGGTAGCAGGTTCTTCTCTGTCATGAGGTACGCGAATACTGCAGCTATGTCGGCGTAGCAGTCAAGTTCACTCGGCGTTCCCGATGCATGCCCGTATCCCGTGTAGTCATACCCCACGACGTTGACGTGGAGGACCTCGCTCAACGTCTTGAGGTGATGGAAGATCAAACCAAGGTCTTCAGCGTTCGCGTGCGAGAAGATGATGGTTAGTTTCGAGCCTGGCCATGGCACGTATACAAGAGGGATTCGCTGTCCTCTTTGTGTCTTGATCCACGTGATCTCTTTCCATTCTGCATCGTAGGAAGGAGGTGGAGGGAGGAACGCCAACCTGGCGACTATCCCTCCCATCGGGTGGAAAATTCCCTCTCGACCACGTCAGGGTTTAACTCAGACCAGCGGGTATGATCGCATCAGGTAGTCGGTTCGTCGAGGACTGTCTTTACTATCTCCTCCTCCTCCCGCCATAGAGCTCCCCCGCAGCTTCCCCAGGTCCCTCGCCATTGCTCCGTGCCCTTCAACCTTCCCGCCATGGACCGAAATACCCCAAAAATCGGACCGAAATCAAAGGCTTTAGAAATCATGCCCCCCTCCCCTCATCCCCACTCATAAAATGTTTTAGTTAATTACTTGAGTAATATTGCCGAAAATTTGTGGCCACCATTGCCCGAGTTGAACGTGATGGAGAAAACGAAAATGGAACGAAGAGGAAGGGAGGGAGAGGGAGAGAGGAGAGAGAGGAGAGAGAGGAGAGAGGGAGAGGGAGAGGGAGAGGGAGATGGGGGGAGAAGGGATGGATTGATGGAAGGATTCGAGGAAGGTGATGCAGGGAAGAGAAGGCTACATGGTTGGAGAAGCCTGGGAACTGATTCCTTATTTTCACAGAAACCAGCAGTTATGGATGATTCTACCGGAGTGAATGGATTGAAGTTATAGACCATGCAAACTGTTGTAAGTGTACGCTTGCTAACGATTTCAGTGTTGTTCTGATTAAGGTCACCTGACCTGGAATCACAGATCACATTGTATTGGTTGCAACTCTGTCTTCTGCTGTTCTGCCTCAACTCCTTACAGCCATCTTCAGCATTCATTCGTCTGCCATCACTGAAAAGTTGGCGGAATGAATTTGCAACGACGAAACAGGCAGAGAGGCAGGTTGCCATAGTCTCAGTCGCCTTGCGAAGGTTGTTGTTGGTCTTGTTGTCAGTCTGTGTGATGTCAAGTACTTGGACAGTCCAATATTGCTATCACCAGTCATCTCAGACACACCTTCTTCTTTTCACCGCCATGGAAGGAGCGGCGGTGTGCGGGTGAGCTGCTAGATACATGCGAGCAGTGCAAGGACTGAGTCTTCCTGTTCTACCAGTTAAGCATGACATGGTCTCTGGATAGAGATGGGATCCCCGAACTGCTCTACAGGGCAAAGAACGGTGAATGAAGTTATTCATGGTCTTTCCCTGCCTCTTCTGACCTCTCCAACCTCCAGAGACCAAAATCTCCGATGAAATCTTCGCAATGACAGGTGAAAGGCACGGGATTGTCAAAGTATGTGATGCAGATGATGTCCGTGAAGAGATTCTTAAGGTAACTTTCCAGGACCTTGGCCTTTACAATGGGACTCGTCTTGTAATCAAGAACAACGGAAATGTGACATGCTGAAATTGTTGACAACGTGATGTTTATTGAATTTTCAAGGGTCCTGTGCTGAGCTATGGAAAGTCACTGTTTATCATCCCAGAGAGTTGGCGTGACAGGACGGAAGGGTGAGATAGTTTGTTATGCTGTCATGATCGTTGTTGGTGTCACAATACAACTCTACTAGAGAAGTGAATCTGCACTCACCAGCTGTTCCTGTTCATGAGCTGTTTCTACATGTGAGAGACTTGAACTTACAGGGTTGTCTGTGTGTCTGTGCGTGCGTGTCTGTGCTTGTAAAGACAAGTTTGGCAATGTTCACTTTGTGTCGCGACATCTTAACTGCTACGTTCAGATGCTCGCGAGATTATCTGATCAATTGGATGGAGAAGGTATACACACCTGTTTATACCTTCTCTCCTCGCCTCCTCATTCGCCCCCTTCATCCACTTGCCCCCAATGCCCAAGACTTGTGCGTGACGTAACTTGCAATAGAAAATCTCTTCCTGTCGTTCAGTGCGGATCTCCGGCCTTCCTGCCAAGTATCTTCTTGTTTGCAGTGAGCGCGGCTAAACTTGCCTGCTTGACAGCCTTGACATCGACGATTTTGCTGAGAGACTGAGGTGAGAAGGGGGCCGGCAGCGGTAAAGAGTAGGCTGATAGCTATCGTTCCTTCAGTAAGGAGTTTGACATTGGAGATCGAGAGCGTTCCTTGCATGCTGTTCGAAACAATGCTGGGGTATTCACGGTGAGGAGTTTTTCTCCATTTCCTTCCCTCTTGTTTTCTGTTTTTCTTCTCTTTTCGTTTCTTGCTCTTCTTGCTTCTTCCTTCCTCCTCGTTTTCATATTCTGCTTTCTTGACGGAACGCAGGGGATCCTGCTGGTAGAGACGAAGGATGCATCTTGTGCCGATCGGCTTTGCGCGTCTCTGGACAAGTAAGGTTCTGTTCGCCGGTGTTGAAAGTAATTCTGTGTTGCCATAGGACGTTTGTTCAAGGGCGGATCGTCAACGCCCACAAGCACTATCACTTGTCGAGGAGGAAGACATCGAGAGAGGTCGCTGTGAGTCGAGGGGATGACGAGACGGTCAATGACGTGGCGGTCAGAGCGACATGACGGCGTCTGAAAGATTCGGTTCCCTCTTGCAGAAGATCGATGCGGCCCCGGATGATGAAAACATCAGCAACAAACTTGTTAGTCAACCTGCGGCTGCTGCTGCTGCTGCTGATGATGATGATGATGATGATGATGGTGATGACGATGATTGTGATTGTGATGACGATGGAGATGATGGAAATGATGATCATCGTCCTCGTCCTCGTCCTCGTCCTCGTCCTCGTCCTCGTCCTCGTCAACATATCATGGCAATGCCGACAACGACGATGTTGATGATGCGATTGTGTAGATCGAACTGGAAGAAGGGTTCAGCATGTTGCGACCGGATGTCTCACGTCGAGGGTTTTTGCTTGACCAATTTCAGTCAAACGCACAAGGTCAACTGCAAAACCATCAGCAATCTCTCAGCTCACCCCTTCTGCCAGTCGATCAAATCCTCGACGCTGCTGACGTCTCTGCCAAGACTGTTTGCAAGGTCCCTTCTCCTTCTCCTTCTCCTTCTCCTTCTCCTTCTCCTTCTCCTTCTCCTTCTCCTCCTCCTCCTCCCCTTCCTTCTCCCTCTTCCCTACCTCTTCTCCTCCGTTGCAGGAGCCTCAGAGGCCTAGTCCTTGTCCTTGTCCCTTGCTGTCGCTGCTTTCTTGGGATTGAGGTCTGCTGTGCAGATCATCAGTGACTTCGGGAAGAGGAAGAACATAGGCAAGGCCATGGCAGGTGAGGGAGGAGGGAGAGAGGGGAGAGGTTCAGGAGCAGGAGGGGAAAAAACAGGCAACTGACGGTCTGCAGTGTTCATTTGGATTGAGAGAAGTAAGTTGGATCCGAACCTCTTCCACTTCAACGCCATCATCAGGTCACTTTCTCTTCCTTTGCTGTTGCTTCGTCCTCGTCCTCGTCCTCGTCCTCGTCCTCATCCTCCGATTTGTCGTCGTCCTCCTCTCTCGTCTCTTCTCTTTCTCTTTCTCTATCTCCGCGGGATTGCGCTTGTCTTGTTCTGCTTGCATGTCGGCTTTTCGTTTCTTACTTGTTATTCGTCTGCTCTCCAGCGCATGTGAAAAGTCAGGGTACTGGTACACTGCGCTCCTCCTCCTCGCCGAAGTCCGCACCAGGTGATTTAGTTGCTGCTGCTGTCTATGTCCTCCCTCGCTACTTCCTGACAGGAAAGTGTAGGAGAATTCGACCAGATACCATCACATACAGCACGCTGATCAGGTGAAGGAGGAGGAGGAAGCAGAGATAGGAGGAAGGGAAGAGAGCAGAAGGAGGGAGGGAGGGAGGGAGGGAGGGAGGAGGGAGGGAGGAGGAAGGGAGGAGGAAGGGAGGAGGGAGGAGGAAGGGATGTTTGATTGAAGGATGTGCAGCGCATGCGGGAAGGGGAAGCGAAGTGATCTGGCACTGCAGCTCTTTGAGGAAATGAAGAAGAACAGGTACTTGTAAGAAGAGGCGGAAACAAGAGGGGAAGGAGGAGACGTGAAGATATCTTGCAGTTGTGGTTTTCCTGTTTGCGAGTCAGGAAACGTAGTAAATGGGGCAGATGAATGCAAGGGCAAGCA